TTATACCGTGTTGCATGGCCTTCTTTACGTGTGATTGTGTATATGCAGTTAAAATCTAATCACTGAATATTCATCAATATTTATTGTGGATTTATGTATTTTTTAATATGATTTTAGACCCAGCCTTGGTATTTTTTATGGTAATTCTTAGTCTGAAGCAACATTACCATGACTGATCTATTCTGGCATATTTATTGCTATTAATTCTTGACATTATACAATGACATTATGGAACCCGGATGCTTGCCCAAAGAATTTCATTTGGCAGGGTGACATTATATGTGTCATGGTTGCGTAGAGCAGGCCAGACCAAAAGCTGTCTTCTCATTAGTTGACAGCTTACAATCACGCTACTCATTAGCAGAATTCCCATCACAAAATGTAGCCATAGCTATACAGGTGCAAGAATGGACCAGTGATAGAAACTTTGCTCTGAAAATAAATTATCATACAAAACAATAATATTGCTATGGCTGGGCCGGGTCTAGTGTCGATTGTCAGTATAAATATAAATATACATATTATTTTATCAAGATCTTGTTTTTATTCCCAGATGGATATGCACCTTTTAGCTCTATGACGCAGAGAGAGACATTTCTTGACGTACAGGATGCAGTCATTGCAGCTCCTGGTCCAGGACATTATGACCCAGCATTTGCCCAGGATGGTGTATTGGGGGGCAAAACATTAGCAAATAAATCCAAGAGGTTCCAGGATCGTGTGTCGGCAACTCCTGGCCCTGGAACATACAATTTATCCAAACACAGTGATTGGGTAAAAAAATCTGGTATCAAACCCACTACTGCACCAAGTGTAATGAGTGAAAAAAGAGACAAGGGAATGGTAGGTTAAATTTTTGTTAGAAATATTGTACAATACAAAGGTCATCATACTGTATCATTCAGTTCAATTTTAATTACTAATTCAGTAATTATTTTACACCAGTTTATGTGGATAAGAACCGAAAAACTGTGTTTTCAACAAGGAAAACTGAATTAAATTATGATTCGTTCCAACAAAATGAATTGTGGAACTTTTCATCGTGTTTATACACATGAAAAAAGTTATAAAATTCTTAATTCTGTTTCCACAGCTAATAACAAGTCGTGTGAAATACCAACGCAAACCACAGGCTCCATCAATACCAACCCCAGGCCAGGCTTATGGTTATGAAGAAGGTGTCGATGGAATTCTTAAAAAGCAGGATGCACCACCAAGAGATGTCTCAATTGGCCCTGCATATTACAGCGTCCACCATGTGAGTATAAAACAACGTGGAGTCAGATGGTCTCCAAAGTCTCATTGACAGCGTTAGAATCACAAGACTTGATTTTGTCCTCAAAAGAGTTCCATTTTCTACCATCACGGCATTGGCTTTAGAGAATGGAACATTTTTTGCTGGGCAAAAACCAGTTTTGTATGTAATGTTACATGTAGCCACATAATTGAAATTTTTTGTGAAAATTCACCCATCATGCATCATGCTTTACACATGCTCTATTATCTGCTTATGTCAGATTAAAATAGTTTCTGTAATATTGTTAGGTTTTGATTTTGTTTCAAAGACAGCTGAAGAATATTTGTTATTACATGTCAGGTGGTCTTGTATTAAAGATGAGTTTCTGATAGAGCAAATATGGTAATTTTTAAAGCAGTGATGAAATTTTTCATGTTTATTATCTTCAATCAACACAGTATCTCCCATTTTCTCACTGCACTTCATCACATTTGGAACCCGAATTCTGTTAAGCTCACTTAAAATTATTACCTTTCTTTGAATGGAAAAATCAGCTTGTGTCGTCTTTCACAAAAAAAATAATCCTGCATGTTTGTTTCCATATTTTATCGAAGCGTTTGATCAAGATTTGAGTTTTGTTCTTCTGCTGCTTAGCTATTATACATAAAAAAGTGGAAATTGATCAGTGTTGATACACTTCTGGTCAGCAGTATTATGTAGTCTTAAGTACAAGCTTCCGTTTTGTACTGAACAAATTGTTTTTATATGTATAGGCATCCTAGTTATAACTTTTGAAATTTTACCTAAAAAATATCCCTAAAATGTAGAAAACTTACCCAAAAAGCAGAACAAAATATACTTTATAAAATCTTGCTAACTGTATGCATAACTTTGGAAAAACTGAGGCAAACAGGCTCACAACAACAAAATGATTATAAAATCGACCCCTACTTCTGTAGCGAATGTATGCTCTGTAACCTAGCAACCAGGGAATTTGTATCTCATCTATTATCTGTATATCCAGTTAGTTCAGAATTAGCAAAAACAAAAATACATAAAAATGTGTGACATGTTGGTGGAAAAATATGAATGATTAACAAATTAATGCATTGTTTTTTGCTAGATAAAATGTACAAATTTTTCTAGGAAAATTCCCAAGAATTTTGCAGTAAATATTACATGTAGGTCACTGACGTTATTCGGGCAGGGATTCACAATGACTTTCTATCCTAGCAAATGCCTCATATATAGAAGAAAAAAAAAGTTTTCATAGTGTGTGAAATATTTAGTGCTTCCATGAAAACATGTGTATTTTAATTCCAGGCCGACACAAAAACATCAGTGAAATATCGAGGCGTGCACTTTGGTAACAGGACATCACAGCGCATGGACTTTGGCGGCAAATACGGTCCCGGGCCAGGAGAGTATAACCCGTACACTGATTCTGAACTTACAATAGAAAATATGAATGCACGAGCTGAAGAAAAGAAATACGATTCAAAACTACCAAGGTACCATGAGATGATCGTACAACAGGAGGAAAAAAGGGTGTGTAAATCATACTTACTTACCCAGTGAAATGAAATTATAAAATTTGCCATTGTGAAACAATGAGTTCTATTGATTTCAATTCAGGTTTCACTTAACAAAAAAAAATATTACCAGTAATTTTAAACTTAGCTAAAAATTTGATTTGTTATTGCAACTGTAAAGTATATCTTGAAAGAGGTTTTGAATTTCAAGAAATCATCATGTACTTTATTTGTTTTTATTATTAGGATGTTCCTGGTCCTGGAAAATATGAAATTCAAAGTCAGTTCAAGAAACAAAATCCTGCTGTTAATACAGAGGGAATTGAAGTTGAACACCCTCCCTTTATGGCACAAGCTAAGGTAAGGAACATTAATAAATCACGAAATAATTAAAAAAAATTATATTCAGTCAGTGTAGTTTTAATATTGCTGATCGTTTTGACTTCTCACTTTATTGTTTGTTCAAATTTAATTTTCTAACACTAATGTATAGTTTTCCAACACCTGTCCATTTACAAACTTTTGTGTCTCCTTTTGTGGCCTGCAGTGCATTATCAAATTCACATTTATTTGTATCATAAAAAATCAAATTTTAAAATTCCAATTATGCTAAAGGAATGATTTTCTAATGCAACATTAAGGCAACAAGCAATGATGTGTAGATGTTTTTTTTCTCCCCATAATTTTCCAATTTTTCTCAGAAACTTATTTTTATCTCTCATTTTTCCTACAGAGATTCAATGAAAAAGCTCACAATATTCCTGCTCCAGGTGCATATAACGATCCAAGGCATTCCATGGAAGCCCTTAAAAAAATAACAGGATTAAAAAGAAGTCCCTTTGGACAAACAGCTGTTAGATTTGTACCAGAACCACATATTAAGAAAACACCAGGTAAGAACCAACAACAACATACACAAATATTGGCCTACCTTGGGGTATATCCCTACGGGTTACTTATCCTGCTGCTTTTGAGAGTCATCTTTCTTTCAATTATCATGATAACTGTCAATTAATTTTGTTATTCTAAACATTATTCTGTATTTTAATAGGTATATAATAGCAGTACTACAGTCTTTAATACTTAATGCACAGCTTAAAATAATGAGCATTTTAGGACTGTTTAATTTTTTAATTGCTCTTTATTCGCCAAAGGGAAATTGTCATTTAATGTTGACAAAAACTCCAATAATGTATAATAATGTACATTCCTCAGTGTGTAATATATTAATGATTTTATGAAAAATTTCTGACACCCCCCACCAAGCAAAATTTTAATATCACTTGTATTTGTTTAATTTACATTTAAAAAATCTTAGAAAATTGTATTTTTAATAAAATAACTTTTCTTCATGTTTTTCAACAGGTCCAGGCACATATAATTTTCCGGGCTTGTCACAAGAAAGTGTGAAAAAAGCTTATATGGAAAGCACCAGAAGAGGTGCATTTGGTACCACGTCCGTACGGATACACCCAATGACAAAAAAACAGGAGACCACGCTACCTGGTCCGGCCCATTATCAGGTTAAGGAGAAACAAACTTACAGTCGTTACTCACAAAATATCACCGCCAACTTTGCATCACAGAGTAACAGGCTACATTCACCACCTCCAGTTGTCAAGGTAATTGCTTGAATCATTACAGACTTCATATTATATAACATTAGACCACTGAGGAATTTGTTTTAGAGACAACGTCATTAGAAGCGATTGAATTTCATAGCAGCCAATTTTCAGGAAATTCATAAGACAGTGAAAATCACAAAATTTTGTTGCTGACACGGAATGACAGCGACTTTTGCGAAATTTTCTCCTTTCAAAAACGGAACAGTTGACAGTATTCTTTGGTATGCACTGAATTATAATTCATGATAATTTCTTGTATTGTTTATAGGAGGTGCCACCACCAGGAGCATATGAGGTCAGTAAGTCACATGACAAGACACAAGGTCGAGTTGTTCATACTGGTCCACGATCCGAAGAAGGTAAAAAGAAAGCTGGTGCTTTCTTGTCTTCAGCATCACGATTTGTACCACCAAGAGATACTATCTTTGAAGAGACTGATCCAAACAATCCTGGTATGTTAAATGAGTCTATTGCTCAGTCTTTTTTGTTTATTGCTCATTTCTTCTGGTCTGTTGCCCAGTTCTTCTGGTCTATTGTCCAGTTCTTCTGGTCTGTTGCTCACTTCTTCTGGTCTATTACCCAGTTCTCTGGTCTGTTACCCAGTGCTCTGGTCTGTTGCCCAGTTGTTTGGTCTATTGTTCAGTTCTTCTTGTCTATTGCCCAGTTCTCTGGTCTATAGCCCAGTTCTTCTGGTCTATTGCCCTGGTTGAAGCACACAATTTTTCGAATTTTACCATGTTTGTACATAGATGCTGGATGTGCCAAATACCATATTGGCTTTCTCAGTGTGGATTTTCACTTTCATTTATTTTTCAGGTCCTGGTTCATATGATCCTACTGTGAAGGACGTTGTTAAACTTGGCAGAATGGTAACGAGAGACGAACGATTCAAGGCTATGAAGAATGACTTCCCTGGCCCAGGAGCATACGAGGTAGATTCATGGACTAATTTTTTTACCAGTAATACTTTTTCAAATAAACTGTTTGCTACAATTGTTGTGATTAGTGATCTTCATTTCTGTTTGAGATTACAGGTGGCTCGCTGAAATTGGAAACTAATTGTGAAATTTGTGAAAAAAAATTATAGCACAATGTGCCAGATTAAAGAATTCACCAAAATAATGCAAAACAATTGTCTCTTCCTTAGTTTTGATAACAATGATTATAGAGTCAAATCAACTGATTTAAAAAACATTGAACGTTGAACTCTTATTTCATTTTAACAATACTGGTATTTTGGCAGAAATCAGAAAAAAATGTTGTGGTCGTCCTTTTCATAGGCATAATGACCAAAACAATTTGTTTGGCGTAAATATATTTTAGCATTAGTATTTTGTACCATACCAATTTGTAAAGGATCTATTATATTCTTATGTTATAAATCCTAGGGTTTGACACATGAAGAACTGTAAATGTTAAACAAATAAAATATAATATCAATCCGTTTATTCTAAATTCTTCTTTTATTTCCAGTTGAGTCCTCTTTTACAAGACACCGTCCTGAAAGGCACGTTTAATGCAACACTCAATAACCCAGTGGCACCACAAATGGACTTTGAAGGACGATCGACCTCTACAACAAAGCATGCATTCTTATTGGGTGTCTAACTAACCAATCAGCATCCATCAAACATGTTGTTTACAGAGATCAAGTTTTTGTGTGGTTCTAAGCAGTATTAATATCTGTGTATATATAGTCCGTCCGATTTTGATCATAACTTTTTTCATGCATTTGTAACTTTTTTCTGTTCTCTGAAGATAAATAACGTTATCAAAATAATGGTATATTCATTTCATATATACATAAATTAGAGGATGCTATATTGTTTTCAAAACTTAATATTTATCTTTCCATTTGGTTATTAGTGATTAACCCTACGTGTCATTTAACCCATGTGAACCATATTTAAGAAAAATATAGACATCATTATTCAAAAAAAAAAAGGTGTTCTCTTTGTAAATGATGTAAATTTCCATCACAATAGAAATATTGTATGGTTAGTATAAAACTGATAGTTCAGTTCAAATTGTGAAATTCCAGAAATCGTTCCCAGATTGAATGATCAGTCATATTTACAGATCATGATTCTTAAAGTTGTATGGTCTCTTAAAGTATTTGTGTTATATGACAAAAAATTTCTTCAAAATAGCTATGAAAATTGGAGCTTATCCTTTTGAGTGCCAGTGTGACAGATTCCATAGTTCTATTTATTTATAGTTTGCAAATATTTCAATTTTTTTTATCACAAACTGGAAGCAATGTCACATTTTGTCTGTTTGCTCCAAAAATAAGATTAAATTTGGTGCACAAAGGTGCAATAGATTAGGTGAGCTATGCTATTACATTGTATGGATTGAGGGAATGATAAATAGATTTTCTGGGTCATGATTTGGGCGAGTGATAAAGGTAATTTAAATACCAGATCAAAATGCCAAGCGTTTTCACTTACCAGTACTATCATTCCTTTGTGTTCATTTATTTGATGTACATGTATCACCTTTCTGAATTTGTAGGTCAGCTCACTTGCTTTTAACTCACTTGCTTTTTTGTCACCATGTGGGAGCAAACATTGACCCGTCCGTGTTTACTAATTTAAATATTGGTGAGCTCTCTAGACATTGTATAGTGGGATTCATCAGTATCCAGACTTGAAATTGGATTTGATGATTGAACACTAAATGGCATCATTTGTCAGTAGCTTAAACTGATAATTTTAAAATGTTGAAGTTGATTTTTCGTTATTGAATTGAAATGTCAAAGTTTCATCAAGTTGTTGGGAACAATACAATTTCAATAAACAAAACATTATCAGCATTTACTGTGCAGTAAGTTGCAGTGTACGTCCTTTAGTGAATATATTATGTATGAATTTAAATTTTCCAAATTGTTATTGTTTAGTTGATGGTCTCCAACCAAATAATATGGGTTGGTACTGATTTGTACATAAAACATGTATCTTTTAAAAAGTATTTGTATGAATTTTGTAAATATGGTAATTATGAGAACATTAAAACATTAAAATAATGTCTCTGAAGTTTATACCAATGATATATCTTGAATCATTTACTATCCTATCAACTCTCCTGGCCACCTAGTTTAAATTCATTTTTTTCCTTTGAATGTTGTGACAGAAGTTAATTCATAACATGTGGGGAATCTGAAGGAATCTGTGGTTGGGTTCGGTTGGCCACATTCCAACTTGAGTAGGATTTCAGCGGAACTTGAACATAACTCACAAAACATGAACTGCATTTATTTGCGAACGAAACTCTTCAACGAACTGATAAATACATAAACTTGTAGAACTGACCCACAGTTGAGCACTAACTAAAAAACTGGAACACAACTACCATTTTTTAAAAAGTGAAATAGAACATTACGGTGTTTTCCATGCAGACGGAGATTAACCAATCAGTGACTGCGTTCTGAATCACTAATGGAATGTCAGTCAACACCTATGGCTTATTATGGTTTCAATGATATAGAATCTAATTATGCCTAATATTATTTTTCAGTTGTTTCTATGTTAAACTGTCCTTGAACTTCAATGAGATGCTTGTATGTTGGGAGTGAAAATAATAGAGATAATTATAATTATTTGCCCCCACCAATATGCGTGATTCCTTAGTTTTGTGCAAAAAGTATTGTACCTGTATTCCTGTCTCATGAAATACAGTATTTTAAGAGTTGTTACTTTAGTAACCAAGTTTATACCCAGTCACTGCAAAAATAACATGATGACACCCCCCCTAACCTCTACCGGAGATAGTATACTAATAGTTTATGTAGAATTTTGAATAAATAATCTCAACCTCGCTATAAACAGCGCCCTCTGTGACGTTTTGACTCATAGCCGTCCTTTCTTGAGAGATTCACTATCCTCGGGGGCGGAGCTACGTCACAGACGTTCCACGTTGCTAAGACGCGCACCACTGTACAATGCATTTCTATGGGCTCTGTGCGCGCTGCTGTGGAACGCCGGTCGAGCCGGTGAAAATTAGAGAAAACAACACAAACTCAACTTTGAAGTAATCCTGAAAAACCAAATTTATATATGTTACACACGTAGGGCTAATCTTGTTACACTGTTCAGGGGAGTCTCAACAACCATTCCCAAGTACCGTTTCCTGCGAGTTTTTGGCCTTTGTTTTTCACCGTGAGGGTTGCCAGGCGGTGAAAATGCCCGGATGTCCGCCCCCGAGGATATAATATTCTAAATGTTGAACAACTACATACATGAGTGGATTTAGACCCCCCCCCCCCCATTTTAAACAACCAACAGGGCTGCGCTCGCAAACTTGCCCTTCGGCCAACGTATCACCCCCCCCCCCCCCCATTCCAGAATCCTAGATCCTAGACAAAATTTTGGTCTAAGATGGGGTATACATTTTTGGTTCAATATTGTCTAAAATTGGCTATGGGTTTTGCAGTGTGGGCTACACACCTATACCATATCAGTAGCCAAGTACCCCCCCCCCCCGGGGGGGGGGGGCTACTGCTACACCGGGAAGTAGAATATCAGGCGTGCAAATTCCCAGCCACTACCAATACGAGCATACGGAAAGTCATCCCCACTTCCGAAAATCCTTTCGCGCTTCGGCCTCATTGCACAGATCGATAAGATGGCTCACGATTTGAGAGGTATCAATCACGGCTCTTGCCAAATTTGTCCGGATTGTCGGTGACGATTTCGTTTTTAGAAGCAGGCAGTATTAAATGTGCCTACTGTGGATGTGTGCCAGGGAAGCATAAAGAACACAGAGGGGAATTCGGATGAAGAATTCGAAGGCACTCGACGACTAAAACGAACGCGGTGGTAGTCTTTGAATCAAATTGATAGCCCCAATTTTCCAAATTGACCATGTTATTAAATTCGCATCACGTCTGATCATTAGATGGGATTGGTTTTGCTTCTATGAAATTATTTGTTCTTGTATAGGGATGGTACCCGCTCGTTTCTCAAAAAATCCAAAAGCAACAACTTGGCTTTGGTGGTTAGTTCTTACTATTATGTGACTTACCTTTATTGTGTCCATGATTTTAGAGACACTGTAGGCCCAATCCCGAAACTGTAACAGCCATAAAATACCAGGCTGAAATCCCAGGATGATGTTCACTCATTAAAGCCCGTTATGGACCACGAAGTACGGAGCAATTCCGTCATAAAGGGTGACATTTTGATCCTGCACTCAATCTTTATCTTCGTTGTAATCAAATAACCCCCACAAATAACATAGATTAACATGATATTCTCACCTTTCTGTGCCTTTAAAAAATGGGTAATTGGGTAATTTTAAACCCTTTCTAAGTTGATGGCAGTATGTTTTTAGTGTTTAACTTAATGAACATCTTTTTTCACTTAATTGTGTCGTCAATAAGGGCCAGGGTTATGAATGTAATGGCCTTCTCACATTTGAGGGGTTAATTTGAAATCTTGGTACAAGCATAGGTG